AAGATTCCTACTTATCATAATTCCTAAATCTTTCTCACAGTCGGATCTCTCTATAACAACGTTGTTCATCTGATATCTGGTTTCTCTGTTTACATCTCCTAGACTAAGTTCTTTACATTTGTCCACATTAAATTTCATCTGCCTGTAAATATATGTAAGAATTATAATTTTTTTATGCCACCATATATCAAATATGTAATGCCATTGTTCTGATTTATTTTATCAACCCTTTTAATTAATATAAAGCTATAATATATATTAATGATAATTAAAGACTATTTATGAGTGCTATTTATTGATGTTTATCAAGGGGAATATTTTATGATAAACAAGAATAATTAGAGTTACTTCACTTAAACTGTTATATAAAGTGTTATGTAGCACCGCATATATTTTGAATTAAAGGTAATTACAGTGGTCCCTCGGTTAACGAACGGTTCGGTTAACGAATTACCTTCCATAAGGATCTTCAATTCGGCTAATGAACAAAAATTCGATTAACGAAATCCTTACGAACATCACGTTTTGTTGTGAGCATCAGCTGATGGGCTAGTCTGCCAATTCAGTACAGTAATTTGTTCTATGTATACATTCATTTCCATTGGAGTAAATATCAATAAAGTTGTGCTCTTCAATTTTCAATTGTTTATTCTTTGATAGAGGAAGCGGGATCCTAGTGCTGTCACTAGGCACCCCTGTACAATAACACCAGAAGCATCTGGCAAGTGTGACAAGTATGTACAGTATTAATATTATAAAGGGGCTTACTAAAGCCTAAGGAAGGAAGGATATTCCTTTAACACATAATCAATGTTATTTACATAATATCTGACCAGTATGGGGATGATCATCGTGTCTCCGTCAGGGGGTCGTGGAGTGGTGGTCCAGCAGGCGTCACGGAAGCGTTGTGTGTGGGGACATCTTAGGAGGTAGTGGATAAGGGTGCGGCTGTCGGGTCTTCTGCATAATGCACAAGAGCATTACTCAGGGGATGCGGGGATACCAATCTCCATAGCAAAGTCATACCCAATGATGATACGGGCGGCAATCACGTCCCCTTTCCGCGACCCTTTCCCATCGACATACGAGAGGTCAGGAAGATTACGGAGGACATCGTACCAGGTGGGTGGGGAGTCTAGGGGGATGGCTGCTTCCCGAGCTTCTCTCTGTTTGCGGCGAATCTGGGTCCTAAGCTGTAAAAGTGTTCGAGGAACAACGTAGTCAGGTGTGGTCTTGTTGCAGCCAGTCTTGGCAAGGCCATCTGCTGCCTCATTCCCCAAGATACCGACATGACTGGTTATCCATAGGAATGTCACAGGACGGCCTGCATCCTGAAGTGTGGATGTTAACCCTCATATTCAGAGGATGAGGTCCTTATTTTCCCCTGATCCAAATGCGATCCCGTCGAAGGCAGACGTGGAATCGCAGCAGACAAGCAAGGGGCAGAAACCATCTGCTTCTTCCTCAGCGAGAAGGGCAGCAAGGAGGGCTATTAGTTCAGCCTGAGTGGAGGATGCCCCATCAGAAACTCTGAGAGACAGTTTGATAGGCTCAGAGGCATCAGGACAGGAGATGTAGACACCAGCCCCGGCCCAACCTGTAGTGGGGTCAACAGAACCATCAGTGTAGAGGACGACCCTACCTGGGGACCAGTGGGCGATCCTGGAGAGGTGGTATTTGCAGAGAATAACAGGGTTCACGTGGGATTTTGGGAGCGGTCCACCGAGGGCAATCACTTCAGGTTGAAAATCCAGCCAGGGAGAAGGAGACGAACCAACAGCAGGGGTGACAACAATATCAGGCAGGAGGTCGTGTTCCTGAAGGGCTCGGATGAGTGACCCTCGCCACTGTCTTCTAGACGGAAGTCGGCCTCGGACAGCAGGAGTGTCAAGTTGGCTTGGACATAGTTGCCCCGAGGATCCCGTAGAATGGAAACGGCAGTTTTTAGGTGAAACTCCTGGACACGATCCTGTAAGGGGGAAAGACCAAGTTCTGTATATAGGGAAGTAGAGTGTGTCCACTGAGGGGCCCCAAGGATGATAAGAGCAGCTTTCCTCTGGATAACTTCGAGACGGTTGACAGCAGTCCGACTAATGTTGACGAGGGCAGGGGCAGCGTAGTCAACACAGGAACGGACGAAGGACTTGTACATGGTGAGAAGTACAGGATAGTGGCAAAAGTTGTGCTATTTAATATTTTTACATTTTTTATATTAAAATTATTAGTCATTTTAACATTTATTTAACATATTGATAATATATGCAGTACAGGGAACTAGATTTTTGTGCGGCCATCAGATGCTTGACTCGGCCACAAGGCATCAGTTGGGCTCTGTTGACAGAGGAGTGAACATCTATTTTGTTGGTGTATTGAATATTTTTGCATTTTTCATTGAAATTATTGGTCATTCTGACATTTAGTTAACATATTGATAATATATAGTGCAGTGCAGAGTTGATTTAAAGAAAATAATCTTGAATTACACCAAGTGAACTTAAAATTTTATCGGTGAAATGACGGCATCAAGTATGGGTCCCCTGAAAGGTGATTTCTCCTCCATCCTCACTTCCTTCTCTTCTCCCTTCTCCTCCACCCCCACTTCTAATTCCCATCATCATCATCAACCAGAAACCTTCTACATACACACCTCAAAGTAAGTGTACTTTACTGCATTTTTTTTTTTACTTTGTACGTACAGGTACAGTATATACTTTTCGGTAACTGTAACCAATTACCCAATATCCCATTGAAACAATGGATTCGGTTAACGAACGACCCTCTGGAAGGAATTGTGTTCGTTAACCGAGGGACCACTGTATCTTAACTGTTCAGAGGTAATTACCCTGCTTGTTCAATTAGTAGGGTTATATTCTATATAACTTTGTTCATATAGGTAATCCTTATTTAATGTTATATATATTAATTGATATAATGTATGTTGTAAATAAATCAGTGTAATTTTGAGTGGTAGTTAAGTAATATAGTGCCATAATTGAAGACAAGGTATCAGCACTGTGTTGGTCATTAACTCAGCCGGTGGAGACCTGGGCAGAAGCAGACGTGCCTGGCTGGTGTGACAGTTGGTCTGGACTCAGGATATTATTGTGGAGGTAAGTGGTGAATACTTTCTGTATTGTTCAAGGGCAAGTCAAGGCTGATGCTAGGGCTTAGGTTGATTTAGGCTGTGGCTCTCAATATTTCATTGTTTTTCCTTTACATGTCCCTTGTATATAATTCTTTAATTTTATTATACTGTACTAATTTATGCAGTGTATGATTTCTTCTCACTCTGAAACACATTTAGTTCAAGTTCATGAGGCTTATTATTAAGAACGCGAGGGAGGTGATACAAATTGTTATAAGGTTTACCCTGCTTATAGATGTGACCACTAGTGGCAGGGGTGTTTCTCAATGCTATCATGATCAAGCCTCACCTCTTATTCTGACAAGTGGCAGAATCTTGATGAAGAGGAGTGATGGCATAACAAAAGAATAATAAACTGAAGTTGGTAGCGTGACAATATTGTATTTAATTAATACTTTACTCGAGGTGGTAGCGTAACATGTGATAGTTATTAATTTTTCTTAGATTACATGAAATAAGAAAGATTATAATTAATGGCTTATAATGATGGTATTGTTCATATATGGAATTAGGAGGAAATAATTCTTAATTGATTTTTATAATTACGTAATGAAAGACAATTTATTTGGCTAACGAGGGCGGACGGATTGTTGCTGGAGATATATCAATATAAGTTTACAAAAGCAATTGTCATTGAATTTCATATAATTAACCATTTACAAAAAACTCAGCTGCACATATTAGTGATTTGGAGTCAGGGGATTGATGACGGAAGGTAGATTAGGGGCGACACAGGGAAGACATCAGTCGCCGTAATTTCCACTACAGTATCACTGTGGTCGCCGGTAACTCCTGCACTGACACCCAATTGATGAATGATGGTTTGACAGCGTTTGCAACCCGGTTTTCTATTCCCGGACCAATACCCTGTTAACAGATTAACATTAATGCTATACGGCTACTATAAAGAAAAAATTGCATCAAATTCTTTTAATTGATTATGTAGATTAATTTTCTTTAAACGTATTTAATTCTGGTATCAGGTGACCCACAAAGAGGTTATAAAGGAAATTATTGGTGAAACATTTAAGGATTAGTAAAGATGTGAAAAGTAATTACAGATTATTAAGGATAATCAAATTCTTATCAAGATGGCCGTCTGAGTGACGTTTGCGCTTACAACACCGGCAAGCCGTTTTCTTGCGATTATTATGATTATAACACAATTTCACTTTAACACGGGTTCAATCACAATTCTAGGATGTCTTACAAATAGTATGGAATAATTTTCAATTAATACTAACCTCAAAGAGGGTGAGAATATGATGCTAGAACGAGTGACTCAGAGAGCGTGATGTTATGTCTGGTGGCGGTGGCGGTGCCTCTCTGTATCTACATGGCCAGGGTTTCCCTCGTGTATTCAGGATTAATTATTAATCCTTTTCATGATTCATCTTTCATTTTACTTATTTCATATAAATAATTAATTTTAGTAATTTTATGATAGTTTTAAAGGTATTTTGATAATGGTTAAGAATATTATAATAACAAAGTTTTCTGTGATGGATTTTTGCTATAATACGCTAAATTACGATGTATGAGCAAAAAGCTTAGTTCAAAAATGTAAAATAAAATTCTTATTATTTATTGTATTAACATCTCAGGGGGCACTACTTGATTGGATGTACATACCTGAAAAAGTTGGATGCCCACCTCACAAGGGGTCACAGCTCAAGGTTGAAGAAGCCACAAGTCCAGAAAACAATGAAGGTAATCTTTTTCCGAATGAGAATTTTGAACTCTTGGAACAGTCTGCCAGTGTTGTGACGGCACCGAGTGTGAGCTCATTCAAGACCAGACTTGACCAACACTGGGGCAGGTTCCGATATATTCAAGAGCCAGTACATGCCCAGTACCTGCCAATAGTGCGTAACAGAGACGTGACTGACCGCCCAAGCAGCTAACGAGCTGATCAGTGAAGAGGAAAAAAGTAAAATATAAAAAGAAAGCAAGTACAATTTGTCTCACCAGTGTGTACAATGTGTGTCTTCACTTTCTTTGTGGAAAAGCTATTACCACACTCTTCACAATAAATATTTTAACCAGTGTGCAGCATACACACATGTTGCTTCAGGTCACTCTTTCTGGAATAAATTTTTATCACACACTTCACACTTAAAATTTTTTTTCACCAGTGTGCACACACCTAAGTCTCTTGAGACGATCCTTTATGGAATTTTTTTACCACTCTTCTCATTGTAAAGTTTCTCAATCAGTGTGTCTAACCAAATGCCTTTTCAGACTGTTCTTTACATAGAAACCTTTCCCACACTCTTCACACTTAAAGGGTTTCTCACCAGTGTGTACAACCAAATGCTTCTTCAGACTGTTCTCTACATAGAAACCTTTACCACACTCTTCACACTTAAAAGGTTTCTCACCAGTGTGTACAACCAAATGCTTCTTCAGACTGTTCTCTGTATAGAAACCTTTACCACACTCTTCACACTTAAAAGGTTTCTCACCTTTGTGTACAAGCATGTGTACCTTCAGCCCATTCTTTAGATAATAACCTTTGCCACACTCTTCACATTTAAATTTTTTTTCACCAGTGTGTCTAAGCAAATGTTTTTTCAGATCTTCCTTTCTGGAAAAACTTTTACCACACTCTTCACACTTTAAAGGTTTCTCATCAGTGTGTACAACCAAATGCTTCTTCAGACTGTTCTTTGTGTAGAAACTTTTCCCACACTCTTCACACTTAACATTTTTCTCACCAGTGTGTACAAGCATGTGTTCCTCCAGTCGATGCTTTCTGTAGTAACTTTTCCCACACTCTTCACACTCCCAAGTTTTCTCAGCAGTGTGCACTAACATATGCATCTTGAGGAGATTCTTTCTGCAAAACGTTTTACCACACTCTTCACACTTCACAATGTTCTCAACAGTGTGCACTAACATATGGATCTTAAGATGATTCCTTTTGTAATAACTTTTATCACACTCTTCACACTTAAAAGTTCTTTCACCAGTGTGTTCAGCCATGTGTTCCTCCAGCTTCCACTTTTTGGAAAAACTTTTACCACACTCTTTACACTTAAAAATTTTCTCAGTGTGTACATCCATATGTTTCTTCAGAGTTTGCTTTTGGGAAAAACTTTTCCCACACTCTTCACACTTAAAAGGTTTTTCACCAGTGTGCATACGCAAATGTTTGTTCAGATCGCCCTTTCTGGAACAACTTTTACCACACTCTTCACACTTAAAAGTTTTCTCAGTGTGTACATCCATATGTTTCTTCAGAGTTTGCTTTTGGGAAAAACTTTTCCCACACTCTTCACATTTAAAATGTTTCTCATCAGTGTGTATAAGCAAATGTTTGCTCAGATCGCTCTTTCTGGAAAATCTTTTACCACACTCTTCACACTTAAAAGTTTTCTTAGTGTGTATATCCCTGTGTTTCTTCAGATTACTCTTTCTGGAAAAATTTTTACCACACTCTTCACACTTAAAAGGTTTCTCACCAGTGTGCACAAGCATGTGTTCCTTCAGCTTACACTGTCCGGAAAAACCTTTCCCACACTCTTCACACTTAAAAGGTTTCTCACCAGTGTGTATAAGCAAATGTTTCTTCAGATCGCCATTTCTGGAAAAACTTTTCCTACACTCTTCACATTTATATTTTTTCTCTGCAGTGAGCATATCCAAATGCTGGTTTACATGATTGTACTGTGAATAAATCCTTTTACTACACTCCAAATTGTTCTCACTGTGTACCATATGTTCCTTCAGCTGATTCTCTCTGTTATAACATTTACCAATTCCTTGGCATTTAACATTTTCCTGAGCAACAGTCACATGTTGTCTCTCATCAGAGTTACTGTTAAAACTTACATCAAATGCTTCACACTTGATATCTTTCCCATCAACAGTCACATGTTGTGTCTCATCAGAGTTACTGTTATAACTTACATCAAATGCTTCACACTTGATATCTTTCTCAGCAAGCAGAGCCACATGTTGTGTTGTTTCACAGTTACTGTCAAAGCTTTCATCAACTTCTTCATATTTAATATCTATCACATCAGCGTGTTCAGTCATATAGGTATGCGTTTGTAAAGCATCATTACCACAATATACACACACACACTTTCCCTCGTCATCATGTCTGGCCATTTGACCAACAAAATCAGCCATTTTTTACAAACTGTAATTTACAAAAGTTTGTACAAAATAATATTTCATCAATGGACAGACCATTGAGATATTATACTCAAAGTATAGAAACAATATAAATCCCAGTCGTCACAGGTAAATGGTTCCTATTCATAAGTCACCACATGTAGGTGGTTATGGAGGTTACTCTTGCACAAGGAAACCTTAACCAAAAGTTAACTTTATCTCAACAGTACACAAGCAGTGGAGACAAACACTTGCCACATTTATGTACTGTACTGTATTGGAACTTTCTCACCAGTGATCACAAGCATTAGTCACAAGGTCTTGTTTAAGGTAAAACATTACAATAATCATCATGTTGTATTTAAACAACATTTAACAGTGCAATATTTTCAGGAGAAAGATTCACTTGTGTGAACCTTCTTTTCATCCTCAGTTTCCTAGGATCACTAACTTGACTTTCATATTTGTAACTTATGATTTACACAGTTGACAATTAACATTAATCATGCTTACAAACTTCTCCTGAAGATACAGTATTCACTAATCCTCACACTGACTTATTGTACAGTTTTAAGGGACTGTTCTTGACCTGTTCTGCCTCCTGTTTTGTAGATTGTGGTGAGAGATGTCTGTGTGGGACGGCCTTCTGATGTCCCTTTGTTACATCCACCCTCTCCCACCTTTATGTCTGAAATATAATAGTTTTCGTATAGTTTGTATTCCTTGCACAAGCTGTACCTTACTCAGTATATACACCTACCTTAATTTTGTACATGTGGTGTGTATAATTGGCCCAATATATTCCAACACGGTGAAAATATATTCAGAAGCATAACTCATACACTTTAAATATCATACAGTATACTGTAGTACATTATTATTACTTCCCACTACAGCACAGATATCCTTCACTATATGAATGTTCACACGTTACATATTCTTTTACAGATATTCTATTTTAATTATATTAAACCTTTTCTTGCTAATACTAATGATGCCCCTTACTCAGCCCACCAGCCCTCACCACCTTCCCTGAAGTACTGTACCAAATTTACATTTTATTAATTTCTTTATGTCTTAGGTACTAAATTTCATACAGTAGTTTGATGCAGTCTGTTCTCTTATCACAAGTGTTTTCATTACACAAATTGGTTTTAACTCGGTGAATGCATTACAGAACTCATTTTTTACAGTGCTGATGCAATTGGGCAAACATAACTATATCAGAGAAGTATAGGTTGTGCAGCTGCTTCAGTGTAGCATCACGCAAGGTGGACACTGGTAGATACTGTACTGTTTGGGGTGGCAATTTGGTAATTAAAAATCTGTCTGGTAATGAATGAAAATTATTTGGTACAGTATTAACTGTGAATATATTCACAGTTAACATGAGTGATCATAGGGGTGAACTTGGAGGAGGGTAGTGTTGATATTGCTGCCTTTCATGACTGAATTATTACTTCACTGCAAACAATTTTATTGACCGTACTTACTGTAAATAAAGGTAAGCTATTTGGCTAATTACAGTTTTCTTTAATATATAAAAAAATGTTTGACTGTTCTGTTAATAAAAAAAAACAAAGGGCGTTGAAACACTCCATTTGGTAATGAATTTTGAGGGATCTGGTAATGACAGGAAAATCAGCCTATAACCTCTTCTTTTTATAAATAATGAGGGTCGTATTGTTGGACTCAAAACCCATATGATGGATTTGGATTAATTTCTAATACCTTTCGAGTAGTGCTGGATTCTAAGTGTACCCTGTAGTGTATTGTATACAGTATTTATATACTGTACTTATTACTCTACTTTAATGAAGAGGACCGAGATAGGAGACATAACATTTTTCAATGGCATCCTTATCACGTAGTGTTCAGTGTCGTATCACAAGCAATCTGTGCTTGTAGAGGATGAAGATCGTCTACAAGAATTCATCTATGAACAATAACTAGTTGTCAAGACACACAAGTGTTCAAAATGTGGCAGAGAATTGACAGTGAAGAATAAATATGTTTCTGTGAAAGAACCGATCGTACTCTCATGTCCACAGGTAACTGTAAAATTACACCATGCTGCTTCAAGTTATTGTAGTTGCTTTCATTGGTACCAGATATTTAAGTAAGTTATTTCTGCCTAATATGCCAGAGGACCCAGGGATGATTAGTATTATATATATTAGTTACCGATTTCAGCTTCTTTGTCAATGCATTTATAGTACCTGATCGATGCTCTTCTGTTTTCACTTTGTTTATATCTCAAGTACAGGTATTATGTTTAAGCACTTATAGCCGAGTCTCCTCCTCGTGTACCTCATGATAACAGCATTGTGGTAGAAAGTATCTCTTTTTATCCTGCGTCATCGGGCAAAGATGATGGGATATATTAGCCTTGAGTGTACAACATGTAGCAGCGTACAACACATTATATAATGCGTATTTCAGGTGAGCTGTGAAGAAAAAACAGTGGCGACGAGCGGTAACGAGCCCCCGAGACGAGAACGTGCGTCTGGCACCAACCAAGTTTGGTGGCTCAGAGGTGGAAGAAATAGAGTTCTTCTTTTGAGTTTTACCTGATAGCCACAGGAGTCACGAAGGAGGAGCAGAAGCGCGCCTTATTGGTGCATGTTGCTGGACCTGAGGTGCCACAGAAGCCCTGAACAACTACTTTTCTCCGAAAATAAAAGTGAGGTACGAGAGATTTTGTTCAGGAAATGTACTCATAATCCCAATGAATCTGTTGATACTTTTGTCACCAAATTAAAAAAGTTAGCCTCTACTTGTGAACTTACTGATGTTGAGGATGTTATTATTGATCAGGTGATTGAAAAGTGTAATTCTCATGAGTTGAGGAAACGGTTGCTGCAGGAGAAAAACCTAACATTAGATAAGATTTTGGGAATTGCCAGAGCATTAGAAGCAGCCAATTCTCAAGCTTAGACTATTGAGGGTAGATCACATAATGATTCACAGGTCAACAGAGTTTCAACCAGCACCAGTAGACAGCAAAAACCATGGCAAAAAGGTAGAAATATGAAAGCACAAGAGAAATTTAAGGGAAAACAATCTCCTAATATACATTTACAACATAGCTCATTCAGAGAATCTAAACCTAGACCTAGACAATGTTTCAGGTGTGGTAGAAAAGGTCAACATCCCAGTGATAGGGAAAAATGCCCAGCAACTGATAAGAAATGCCATAATTGTGGTCACAGAGGTCATTTCAATAACATGTGTAACTCTCGGAAAACAACTACCCTTTATCATGCAACTTGACACAACAGCAGATGTGTCAGTAATGTCTGAACAGACTGCATGTAAAATTCCTGATATATTTATAGAACCAAGCAACATAGTTCTAAGGGTTTATAACTGTCACAATATAGAAGTAATTGGTTCTACCAAGGTAAATGTTCAATGTGGCCAACAAACAGTAAAATACCTGCCCATCACCATTGTTAAAGGTCAGACATTGATGGGTTTAGATTGCTTGAAACATTTAACATTAAATTGGTCAAATATTTTTTTCTGTTCTAAAGCAAGAGCAAAAGGCAGCCTTTCCTTTAAATGAGGAGTTATTTACTGATGGACTTGGTACAGTATACTGTGAAAAATGTTAAGGCTACTTTGGCACTGAAACCAGAAGCAACATGCAAATTTCTTGCTCCTAGTCCTATTCCTTATGCTTTAAAGACGTCAGTTGAACATGAAATTAAGAGGTAAGAAGCAGAAAAGACATGGAAAAGAGTAACCTACTCAGCTTGTGGTTCACCTTTAGTTCAGTAGCAAAAAAGGGTGGTGGTGTTTGATTATGTGGAAACTATAAGGTAACACTAAACCCTCAGTTACAAGTAGCACAACACCCTCTCCCTAACCCTCCAAATATGTTTGAAGCTTTAGGAGGATGTAAGATCTTTTAAAAAATTGACTTGGAACATGCATTTCAGCAGTTAGTCACGGATGATAAGTCACAGGAGTATTGCCCAATAAACACACATTTAGGACTTTTTTGCCCTAAAAGATTGCCATATGGTGTAGCTAGTAGTCCTGTAATATGGTAATAGACCATGGACAAAATATTCAATGGGTTACCTGGTGTATTTTGTTTTGTGGGTAGGAAAATATGAAAGAGAACATCAGGAAAGATTAACGGCAGTACTGAAACGTATCCAAGAAATTGAATTGAAAATTCACAAGAATAAGTGTCGGTTTCAAGTACCATCCATTGAATATTTCGGATTCATAATTGATAAACGAGGTATACATTAGACAAATGAGAAGGTTAGAGCAGTCCAGTCTGCAAAAGTACCTTAGAATGTTAAAGAGCTACAATCTTTCTTGGGACTTGTAACATTTTATGGAAGATTTGTTAAAGATTTAACTACAATTGGAAGCCCCTTTTATCATTTACTGAATAAAGATGAACTATGGAACTGGTCAGAGGAATGTCAGCAGTCATTTGAGAAGATAAAAGCTGCAATAACATCACCAAACTTTCTTACACATTTTGAAATGGATTTGCCAGTAAAGCTAGTACATGTATGTGACGCCTCACAAGTTGGATATTGTATATTTCTAGTGATATAACGTGTAAACCTTGCTTGAATTTTAAGAACACCAAGTATTATATAGTAATTTATATGCGAGATTATGGGTAGTCATATTTCAGAACGCCAAGGTAAAATAACTTGCTTGTTTATGAGTTACGTGTGTTGGATAATCCCGTTGTCCACGGTAGTTGTTAATATAAAGAAGTGTTCAGTCATTAATTTTATGATTATTATTTTGTCACTCGGTTGAGTCACTTGTTTGATGAGATTTAGTTTGTCTTTTGTTTTATTTTTGTACATACGAGGTCTGTCCGGAAAGTATCCAGCCATTTACTATTAAAAAAAATGTTGCTTACCTAGGACAACGGCGCCTGAGTCCCCTTCAAGGTACTCCCCTTGGGACCTCACACACTTCTCCCAGCGTCCCTTCCACTTTTCAAAACAGTCTGCAAAGTCCTCTTTCGGGACCTCCATCAGCTGCCTCGTCGCATTCTCCTTAATCTCGTCCAGGCCAAACAATAACGAAGGAGTACTACATCGAAGTTTTTCGCCGGCTGAGGGATGCGGTAAGAAGAAACGGCCGCAGCTGTGGGCAAGTGGTGACTGGCAGCTTCATCATGACAATGCGCCTGCCCATTCTTCACGTCTCGTGCAGGTTTTTTTGGCAAAACATCGCATCACCCAGGTTTCTCAGCCCCCCTACAGCCCAGATTTGACTCCCTGCGACTTCTGGCATTTCTCAAAGCTAAAATCGCCGTTGAAAGGGAGGAGATTTCAGACCGGGGACGAGATTAAGGAGAATGCAACGAGGCAGCTGATGAAGATCCCGAAAGAGGACTTTGCAGACTGTTTTGAGAAGTGGAAGGGACGCTGGGAGAAGTGTGTGAGGTCCCAAGGGGAGTACTTTGAAGGGGACTAAGGCACCATTGTCCCAGGTAAGGAATATTTTTTTTAATAGTAAATGGCTGGATACTTTCTGGACAGACCTCGTAACTGATATATTTATTTTTGTTTGTTAATACAGTACAGTATATGTAATTAAATGTACTTCATGATTTTCGATATACCCCCATAGTAATGAGGTGATGATTTTGGTGGGATCTGTTGCTTGGACTTTCGATAAAAAGATAACCATAATTAT